TTCAAGTACTTCAAAGCTATGATTAGTGATATTTATAAGGAATCATCCTCAGGTAGTGTAGATTCTAGTTTGTTCAAATGATGAATGCCTGGAGGGGGGGATAAATTCAAGCCCGATGTGCTCAGGTGAGCGCTGTGGCCCCTGGGCCTCTTGTTTTCATATTGTACACATGATGAATAAGTGTAATAAATATAATCTTTTTTAAAAAATGTCCAATAAGCCCCGGGGTTGAATATCGGGGGGGGGGGGGGTCCTGTCCACAAGTACCTGTGGATAATACATCTAAGGATGCACACTACCAAATTTGATTCGGATGCTGGATTTGACCTACATTTTAAAGATTAAAGTTTTTGGTGCAGGTTTCATATCCAAGTAACTATGAGCACTATTATGACCAAACTGGCATGGATGATACATCTAAGGATGCACACTACCAGGCTTGCTTCGGATGCTGAATCTGACCTACATTTCCGGATGAGTAAACAGGTTAAAGTTTTTGTGCAGGTTTCATTTCCAAGTAACTGTATACATTTATTTACTGAGTTCGAGGGCAACATGCGTTTTGTCGGACCCAAGAACCAAACTGTCTGCCTGAGGCTGTTAGGCTGAAGGCAGACAGTTTGGGTCGAGGGTCCGACAAAACGCATTTTGCCTGAGAACTCTGTCAATAATTGTTTTGTTATACCTTACATTTTATTTTATTTTTTGACATACATGAATTTTGTACTATATTCCGTGATGTAACATCAGGACCGTCACTGCTTAACACCAACGAATGAAAATGACTTTTTTTTGTATAGATTTATATAGGAACAATTTTTTAAAGATATAACAATACCCTATGTTGAGCAAACTTTGCATTGATAATACATATAAGGATGCACACTAATGGACTTGCTTCGATTGCTGAATTCGTCATACATTTTTCAGATAATTGACCAGGTAAAAGTTATGGGTGCAGGTCTATCACCAAGAAACTATAAGGCTTATATACTCACCGTCAATGTAAACTTTGATAGTACATTTTTTATTTCAAAAATAGTGATATTTTTTTTATTTATATATTAGTAAGAAAAAATGTTTAATTATTACTAGACTTGCATATAATAGTAGATTTAATTTAATATTAATTCGAATAAATTAATTAGAATTGATGTTTGCTTCAATAGGGACAATCAAACTTATCACCTCCCTCCCACATCCTCCTTTAATATGTTTTTTTTCTCTTTAAGGACATTGGCAAGGTTCCTGGCTTTTGTATAGATTTTTTCAAGAACTCTTGAACAGGTGTAATGATAATAAACATGTTATATTCTGGTACATTTAACCCACCAAGCCACCCTTCCTTATTAGATTTTTTCAAATCAATGTTTTTACAATTCTCAATGCATTTCCTATGTAAAATGTTGATAAAAAGGACCTACTAAATTTTTTACCACAAAAATTTTCCAAAATCCAGTCATTTCAGAAAGTGTATATATTATATACATTATTGTATCCTAATTTCCAATCATATCTAGATATCATGACTGAAAACACAAATTTAGAAACATGACACAGATCTACCAACACTGTTCATTATTTTAGAGTTACTTACCTTAGAATCTAAAACGTATTCATTATGGTAAAGACTGTTTGACTGTTTATGCTAAGTAATTTACCATATTGGAAACAAATTTTCATAAAAATATTGGCATAGATTTCTTTTATATTTGTTTACAATTACTACATGTTAAATGGTGCCAAATGCACGACCTCATTTAGTTACAGGTTCTCAGCATTTGTCATATCTTGATTGTCCTTCCCAGCATGGGTATACGGTAAATAACGGTCTGTTGACCAATGTTTACTGTCTGTCCCTGAACACAATGTACAACAAAACAATCATCGTTTTTCTTTCTTGCTGTAGAGATGATTCTACCCGTTGAAGGAAGCACATGTGCTTTTGTTTACCTTTGTAAAATACGCTTTGTTGGTTTTCATTTCATAGAGAATTCTACACGGGAGATCACTCTCAATCACAGTTTTATAAGTGAATAAACCCATGATATAAACCTTTTTTCTCCGGATAACCGTGACTTGCCAATGTCCTTAACCATATACAACAGAATTTAATACTTTATACATGTACATTTATATACATGTTTTTTACATCTATATTTTTTGTTGAAAGCCTTTGATAAATTTTATATTGATAAAATCTCCCTATGTCATGATATATTAAAGAAATGTTAAATTTTACTTCTCTCTAATGCTGTATAAGCAGAATTCTTAGCGAGGATTTAATTTTGGCATACGAGGGCTGTTCAATAAATTATGTCCTGAACTGTATGACATACAATACAGATATGATATGACATTAAACTTGACTTTCTCTCATTATTGAATCTTTACTTAATTTATAACAGTTTATGTGACCACTTTTCATCACATAGTTTCATCGTGAAAAGCTGGGAAACGAGGGCTTTTGGAGACACTGCATTATAAATGAATGGCAAAGAATCAGTAAACTAGAGTGAAAATAAAGGCTACATTAAAGCTGCTTTAAAACTTGTTAAAAATCCCAAACAAATATTCACTGAAATATGTGTCATTTACAGCAACCGATGCCTGATTTATAAACAATGAGCAGGTGGATTTCAATGAAAAAAATTATATAATGGGCGTCAAAACTGGGTTACCTCCTTGCCAACAAAAATTATAACAACTTATGTACTGTTCGCCAAATTTCAACAAATAATATAAAAGCTTGGTACTCAAAGTTCACCCTATATTTAAAAAAAAAAAGAGTGAAATGACAGCGCGTACTAAAGTCTTAACACATTTTTAAAAATCAGTAATTGTAGTTATCCACGTTTGTTTTATATTCAAACAGATATTGGAACATGAATCTATTGCTTAAATTCATCAAAACAAAATTTACCATAAAATGTACTTGATAACAAGATGTGTTTGTAAAACACTATGCGCCCGGCGTCAACTAATTTAAAAAAATATTTTAAGCATAAAGGTCACAATGAAGGTCACAAGGTCATTGATCATGGTGTCATTTGAAAGATCTTGATCAGTGAAGTATGCATGCCAAATATGAAGTCTCTATCTTCAATGGTTCAAAAGTTATGGTGACGGTTTTTAAAAAAAGCTATTTTTAGCATATACTGTAAGACACATTCAAGGTCACAAGGTCATTGACCATGCTGTCGTGTGAAAGGGCTTCAATGGTGGAGTATGCATGCCAAATATTAGGTCTCTATCTTTCTTCATTCAAAAAATATGGCGAAGGTTATAGATTGCCGTCAAAAAAGCTATATTTAGCGTAAAGGCCACAATCAAGGTCACAAGGTCATTGACCATGGTGTCAATTGAAAGAGCTTTTGTAGTGGAGTAGGCATACCAAATATGAAGTTTCTATCATTCATGGTTCAAAAGTTATGGCCAAGGTTAAAGTGTGCAAAAAAAAACTCTATTTTTAGCATATAGGTCACAGTCAAGGTCACAAGGTCATTGATCTTGGTGTCATTTGAAAGAACTTTAGTAGTGGAGAAGGCATACCAAATATGAAGTTTCTATAATTCATGGTTCAAAAGTTATGGCCAAGGTTAAAGTTTGCAGACAAACAGACAAACAGACAGACAGACAGACAGGACAAAAACAATATACGCCTCGGATCTTTCGATCCGGGCGCATAAAAATTGCGAATGTTTGACAAAAGCAAATGTTTGCAAGAGCACAAAGACAGATTTATATGCAATTTTCTTGAATATTAGTGGTACTGTTGTTCAAATTCGTATTCGAGGAGACTAGAATCTAGTATCTGAGTATTTGAGTCTAGAAAACAATGTGTTTGCAAAAAAAATCCAAAGGTTTATTAGAGGAAGGACCCAGAATTAGGAATCAACTAGTTGAATTTCTTAATGACAGCGTCCAAACCCGCATGACCTGAAGAGTAAAGGGGTTTTCGGGATAAACAGAAAGTTAATGTTTTTTCACATTAACAATATTTGCTAGATCTTTGACCTTTTTACTTGAAAAAAAAACACCTATCAGAAGGAAAAAACAATTCCAGGAAATCATTGGATCTGCTATTTTCCAGTATACTAAGGGTCATACCCAAAACTGAGTTCTAAGAACAAGCAGAAATTGTATAAAATGTCAGGGGCATGTGTTTGAATTAAAAGAGATTTATATATAAGTGAAATCATAAAGACTAAATCATTGAAAAGCTTCTTTCTGAGCACCGAGGACATTATTTATTGAACAGCCCTCGTATATTATTAGCAAGGGTGCTGAGATCGCTAAAATTGAATATCACTTAATATTTATTGTGTTTTATTAGTAATAGATTCTTGATTAAGTATTTTTAAAATCGCTAATATTGCATCTCGCTAAAAATAAAATACCAATTTTTAGGACAAATCGCTAAATTTCTACTTATACATGTACGTTATAAAAATAAAGCATTGGAAATTATTGTGTTTGCGCTTGTGAAGAGGCAGTTCTTGTCATCGCAACTAATTCAGTTATACGATATAAATTATTTCTTCATTCGTTATGTTCGAGATAGTTATCATAATTTTCAGACTAGAGAGATAAGATCTTGTGTATCTCGACGAAACCAGTAATTCTCATGACTTGACGTGATAAATGTTGACAGATTGTATAAAAACGCCTCAATCAAATAACTATATGTATTTGAAAACAGTCTGAATAGAGTCTTTAAGTCTAATAACAAAATAAGTATACAATTTAACGATTACAGTAAAACTCAGTTATAGCGAAGTCAATGGGACCTATGAAATTACTTCGCTATAACCGTAATTCGTTATATCCGTATAAGGAATTCATTAAACTTTCATAGATGGGGACCCAAGATAACTTCGCTTTATCAGTGAATTCGCAATATCCGTGTTCGTATTAAAATAGTTGTATATTACATTTGAGGTACATGTACTAAACTTCGAATAAAAAAAAACAAACAAAAACCACACACATAATTATATTGTTCTAAAAATCTTTAATTGATAGAGGGAAAGATGTTTTCAAGGTAAAAACCGTTCCTGTAGTGGAAAAACTGCATCCTCCGTTCACTGTAAACAAATGATACATTTTGACATTGATATCTACATTTAACTCTGATCACGTAAAATCATTTTTTCAACGATATGGTCCATTTCACACATTCAAAAACTACTCACATTTAGCCCCAGCCCCAATTCCACCCAGCCATTGCTCTATCTTGCTGACAATCGGCCATTAAATGAATTTTCACAAGACGTTTAGCGTTTTGGTAAAATTACTTTTCCTGGATTACATCATCGTCTGAAATATATTCAGCACACTATATATAAATATAAAACCAACCGTATTACAGTGTCTTTATTAACGATGAAACACTAAAAAATTGAATGTTTACAAAATCATGTATATATTTTAATATTCTTTCATGCGGCAATTCACAGGATTATCTTCTTTCAAAATCTATGAATAATTAAGCAAGAGCTAATTAGTAATGTACTTATTTGTAAGACATTGACATACTGGTAATAATAAAATATGCAAAAATTATTTTAATCCTTTGTACCTGCACGAATACGGAAAAAACTTGATATATATAATTAATTGATTAGCATCATGAACTTTGTGATAGTGTTTTATCGAGCACCTCGAGCTAAATTTGATTGTACACTGGCACTCACTCAAATACTACATATTAATGTTAAAAGATCTTTTCGAAAGGCTCTACATTATTTCGATCTTTTGGGTCTTGTACCAGAGTAAGTCCACATTTTTTTTTAAATTTAAAAAACAATTTATATTTTTGAATTTTAAAAAAGAATCTACCTGGAAACAAATCATTATATTTCATTCAGGCACCAAAGTGAGAAAATTGAAATGTGAAGAAAACCTGATTGAACTTTTATTCAAAGCACACGTAAAACAAAATTTTTACTAGCAATGTAGAAATAAAAAAATATATAAATAAAAGATGTAATAATGTAAAGAAATAAAGGAAACCGCTGGTGTCCGAGATGGAAAAGACGACAGGAGATCCTTCTCATCCATAAGTGGCAGCGACTTTCTGGAACTCTAGCTTAGTCATTTTACCATCTTTATTTGTATCTAAAGCAATGTAATGACACTGTATGTACCATAACTCATGTTGCATGTAATGTTTTCTAATAATTTAATTAAAACTACACTTCTTAGATCCGCCTCGTATACACTCTGTGTAAGATCTTTTTACGCAGAGTGTATACGGCGCGGATATAAGAAGTCTGATTTTGATTAGATAGTGTTTTGTAAGCCAAAATTTAGAAACAATGATCAGCAAATGAAACATTTAGATACAATATAATATACCCTTGACGTACATTAAGAACTGGTAATTTCTTTTTATGAAGGACTATACTTCGGAAATTTTAATTTATACTGACCTTTCCTCCCTTCCTATCCCATCCTACACACCATCTTTCCTCCGCCAGAGTACACACTAGCACCGATAAGAAAGTAAGACAGATGACAGTCTTCATCCTGAAAGGTTGAAATGTGTCTTTACTCTTAACATATATATGGCAATTAAGCCCTTTTACTATTTATTCGGAAAATAAATTTTATTTTAAAATTACAGAGATATCTCTCATTTTAGAGAGATATCTCTTAAAAAATAGAGATATCTCTCAAATTTAAGAGATATCTCTTATTCTTAAGAGATATCTCTATAAGAAAGAGATATCTCTTAAAGTTAGAGAGATATCTCTTTTACTGAGAGAGATATCTCTTTTTCTTTGAGAGATATCTCTTTGCCCTTGAGAGATATCTCTTTCGTGATAAGAGATATCTCTGAACGTTAAAGAGATATCTCTGATCGTTAAAGAGATATCTCTTTCAACTAGAGAGATATCTCTTTCACCTAGAGAGATATCTCTTTCACTTAGAGAGATATCTTTCCAAGTTAAAGAGATATCTCTTAAAGTAAAAGAGATATCTCTCTAAGTTTATCTTAAAAGATATCTCTGAAAGTGAAAGAGATATCTTTCAAAAGGGTCGAAAAGAGATATCTCTGAAGCAAAAAGAGATATCTCTTTATTGCAAAGAGATATCTCTCTTCATTATGTTTATTTAAATTCCATTTGAAATGACTTCTCCCTTTACCGGAAGTAATCTTTTTATTCATTATTTCAAAAGCTGAGAAAATTCGGTCCAGAGGATGTAAGTCTCATCACGTGATTCGCGAGATTTTACGATAACTTTCACTTCCGGGTGGTGTTGTGTATTGAGTTCAGCATGTTTCTGATTTACACAAAGCTTGTGGGGGAAATTAAATAGTTTTACAAAGCCGAAGGGTTTTCCGACTTACGATGGATGAATTTCATGTCATAAAAAATTGGGTGCGAGCGTCCACCAGGAATATTTCGCTCGAAATACAGGTAAACTTTACAAATCAGAGAGTGTCAATACTGTCATCCGTTTCTTGTTTATTTTGAGAGAAAATGAAGTGTTTTATTCTTAACCGAATGAAATAGTTCGAAATTATCTTTTGCATTATTTTTTTTAACAGATTTCTCTTGAATCCGAGATGTTATTATCAGCTGATTATAGAGGAGTTTTGTCGTGGATGGGTACCAACCTCATATTTATGATATTGTGGCTGCATCACTTTTGTTTGGGTAATTTTTTTTTGGAGTAGGGTGGTTTCGCGCGCCGATAACGTGTTCGCGCCGAGTGGTTTCGCCCCCTTTATCTACAGGTAAGATACATAGTTGCCAACTCACCCGATTTCGTCGGGTCACACCCGATTTTTCAACCCATAACCCGATTATTTTTTATGACCCGGCGGGTCATGCTTATCACCCGATTTTTGCCGAACAACCCGAAAATATCCCGATTTCCGGATTTGGTTCGTAAATTAGGTTGCACTTTTAATTTCCAGTTACAACCCAAGCTTAGATCTACGTAAACAATGCCGATGGATTAATTATCTGTGCAGGTGTAAACAATTAACTGGGTGTTGTTTTGACAAATCAATGTTTGAAGTTAATTAAAATGGCTTCCCATAGAACTAGATCGTTATCAGGGCCAACAGGAACAAATTGAACCAAACACATGTCTCTGATTGAACCAAGAAAAAGAGAAACGATATTTATGTACATATCAAGGAATCTTGGGGGAAAAAACTTTCATTCTAGATAAAATAAAGTGATCAAAGACAGTGTAGGCCTAACTTCAAATTTAAAACATGTTGCAGTAATTAATTAATTAAGAGAGAGGAAAAACAACTTCAAAACTGAAATTGGTATGCTTTCAAATTTAGCAGAAACTGAAAAGGCCTTTTAAAAAAATGTACATTTACTTCAGGTCAAATCTGAAATATGAAACCTTCAATTTTCATTTTTAACATGTAAATTAAAGCAAATTATGTATAAATTTTTTTGTCATAGTAAATTAAATCCTTTTTCAATAAAAGAATTCTCAATACACAAATACTTTGTATACATGTATTATAAAATTTAATCATGGTAAATATGTCGTGAATGTCGTTACGCGTTATGACCAGATTTTTTACTTTCCAAATCTGGTCATGACCAGATTTTTACATGCTGGAGGTTGGCAAGTATGGTAAGATATGGGTAGTTTACAGACTGGCTCCCCCCCCCCCCCCCCCCCCCCCCCCCCCCGATTACCTGTCAGGTAGCTTGTAATAAATCAACCCCAAGCATTAATGTCGTGACATGTGGGATCCCATCTTGTATTAATAATTTTAGTGAGGCCATTTTTACCCAAATTATGACTATTTGAACAGATTTGATCGTATAATTTGGAATAACTTAGGACTGGATATTTTAAAATATTTATTTCACAAATCTCATTGATTTTTCAATGAAGGCTTTCATTGTTTTTCAGTTGATTTACAATATTAAATTATGTAGAACACGGAAACTTCAAAGTCAATCAATCTTTGCATACAGACACATCAGTAAGTAGAAAAAAGAATAATATATTCTTCACTATAAGCACTCATATAGATAGAAATTCTTTAAAACTTTAAAGCTAAATATATAATGTACATGCAGGGCGAATCCACTGGGCGCGAACAAGTGATCGGTGCGAAACCACTCAGCGCGAACACATAATCAGAGCGAAACCACCAGCATTCTTTTTTTTAATATACTTTTTTTCATTAAATTTTAACCTGCTTTGTATCTGTGGATTATTTTTTGAGCATTAAATGATTGTAGCAATTTAGATCTATTTCACAAGGATAAGATGTTAATATATTTTGCCATCTCTCTGCATAAAATAAAATTCAGATGACCATATTTCTCACTTTAGAGAGTATGTTCCCTGTTTATAGAACATGGTTTATGGATTTTGGTCAATTTTTCTGTCTGTTCAAATTCGCCTGCATGGCACAGTGGTTATGTCTGCTAAGTGCTTTAGAGTCGCGAAATAAGGAGTTTTACATCATTTTTACATCATGAGTTTGAATCCCACTGTGGGATGTGGAGACCTGTCCTTGGGATGATACAGTATAACCGTGGCCCCTTGTTGCAGTAGGTCAGGTGTTGGCACTAAAAAAGATCCCTTTCTGCTCAATCAGTCAATGGCCCTGAGTGCCGAGTATAAGACAAAATTTGCAGCTTTCCACTGGTGTTTCCATATGAGTGAAAAATTCTTGAGAGGAACGATAAACAATATACAATCAATCAATCTGTCTGTTCAATTTATTCACTGATATTACACAACTGTATACACTAAAACTTATTTTATAACAGAGGTACAAGAGAACCAGTGACACAGATAAAAGATGCAGTTCCTAAGAGATCCAAAGTCAGCAGCACCTAAGACTAAACTGACTTTGAATTATCAGCATCCAAAACAATGCAAATCAAAAACAGGTATGAAATTGATTCAACAAAATAAGTTCTAAGACAAATATAAAATTTATTTTTATTAGACAGCATATCAAATGACTAATATACTAGTCAACATTGGCCATCTTTAAAAATATATTTGTTTGATGTACTCCTACCCACTTTTATCAAGGTTGGTAGGTAGGTCGGTAGGTATACCGACCTCAATTTTCCTAAATTAGTGTCAAACTTAATATGGTGATACATTCTGATGTAAGCAATTCAACTGCATCAACATGACCTTGACCTTTCATTTGACCTTGACCTCACATCTCTGAAATTAGTGTCAAACTTCATATGCTGATACATACTGATGTAAGCAATTCAACTGTATCACTTTTCAAGATATTCTGATCAAATTTCATACGAATTTTCATGTTGCATTACTAAAATACCCTTGACGGGCATTCCTGTCCTGTGGACATATTTCTAGTTTTTTTTATACCTTACAGTATTGAATAAATTGATAACTGTCATATTTAAATAATTTAAAACCACAGACTCAGAAATCTGTTGATGTTTTCATTTAGTTAGAAAGACTTTATTTGTATTTATAAATTAAAGCATCCTAAAAAAAATATGATACCTTATCTTTAAAACATCTATGAAAATTAAGGGGGGGAAATTAAAAATTTTTTTAAGTGCCCCCAAAAAATGATAAAATTGATTGCAAATGGGTAGGGGCTATTTTAAAAGGTCAGTCAGAGTACATCAAACAAATAATTTTTTTTATTGTTGGCCTTGGAAGGGTACCCTAAATATGAAAATGCAATAAATATTTTTAAAAAATTTTAAATGAAAATATTTTTTGTGTATAAATTTTTATTCTGATTTTCTTGTACAATCATTGATAAAATTTAATGAAGAAGGTTAAAATTTGTATCAAAGGAATGGATATTTGATTTATAACTCATTTATAACTCATTATTTGTCAGGCACCTTACTGTCCTTACTCCTACATTATTATCAGTTGCACATACAACTATGGCCTATGTTATAAATTCAAATGACATGTTACAGAAGCTTGCTAAATTACAGGTTTTGTCTGTACATCTGGCAATCTTAGGACAATACTGGATGGTTTTAATTAAGAACTGATCAAGCATGAAGACCAGCCATGTGCCTCACCTGTCATGACATTATTAAAGGCAAGTGTCCCTATAAGCAAAGAATCTGACAAAGCAAAACCTTCATCTGAAAAGATTTACATTTAATACTTATTTGATTGGTAGTTTTAATTATTTTTTTCTTCTACGAAGCCTTTTATTTAGCATTTCTGAGTACTGGTATATAATTGCCATACTTTCGAAAACTTTTTTTTTAATGCTTTATTTTGAAGCTTTTTCCATATCCATATATACACTATACACTGTACAAACACAAGACAATTTTCACCCACTCACCACCACAATTGCACACACTCACACAGTGCACTTTCTAAACTTAAAAATAACGAAATGTTTGTTAAACACTTATGCCCCCCTCCCCCCCCCCCCCCAAATTGGAATTTCTCGAAGTCCAAAAGGGCATAACTCTGTCAAAAATGGTGCGATCATACCTAAAACAGAAATAGACCTAGATATTCATCTGATAAATCTGTATACTAAATTTCACTTCAGTATGTACAACCTCTGCAAAGGAAATGAACGGAAACTGCAACTAATTGGAATTTTTCTAAATCCAAGGGGCATAACTTTGTCAAAAATGGCACGATGATGGTACCCAAAACAGAACTTGACCTAGATATTCATCTGATATACCTGTATACCAAATTTCATTTCAGTGCAATGGTTGTGAAGAAAATGAATCGAAACTAAATGGACTGACAGACAGCAGCAAAGCAATATGCCCTCCTTTCTTCAAAGGGGGGCATAATAAATGTACATATATGCAAACATATGACAGTTAAACATACAATTTATCTAAAAACAAAACAGGTGTACCAAAATGTGTAGATATAAATTAACAAAAAAATACAATTTTGATTTTTTCATCACTTGTTGTACACATTATCATACAGGACCCATTTACTGAGTATTTTGTCCTTATACATTGAAAAACTTTTTCACAACAATTTTCTATGTTTCTGTAATACTTAAAGAACTTTACTGCATCAATAAATAATGGCTTACAATCTTGTGATCTTAAATAGAATAATTTTTTTTGCAACTAATAAAAGAAATTTTCTAAACAACTTCCTTCTATATTACCAAGTAAAACAGTTCTTTTGGATATTTTTTAATCTTTTTCAATGACACTAAACCATTGTACAAATTGATTCCAAAATTCAGTCACATTAATATACACAATCATAAAATAAGTGAATTATTGTCTATTGTTGGCTCACCTGAGCCGAAGGCTCAAGTGAGCTTTTCTGATCACATTTTGTCCGTCATCCGTCTGTCTGTCTGTCTGTCCGTCTGTCTGTCTGTCTGTCCGTCTGTAAACTTTTCACATTTTCGACTTCTTCTCAAGAACCACTGGGCCAATTTTGACCAAACTTGGTACAAAGCATTCTTGGGTGAAGGGGAATTTAAATTGTTAAAATAAAGGGCCAAGTCCCCTCACAAGGGGTGATAATCAAGAAAAGACAAAAATAGGGTGGGGTCATTAAAAAATCTTCTTCTCAAGAACCACTGGGCCAGAAAAGCTGAAACTTATGTGGAAGCTTCCTAGGGTAGTGTAGATTCTAAATTGTTCAAATCATGACCCCCGGGGGAAGGGCAGGGCCACAATGGGGAATCAAAGTTTTACATGTACATAGAAATATAAGGTTGAAAATCTTCTTCTCAAGAACCACTGGGCCAGAAAAGCAGAAACTTATGTGCACATGGAAGGATCGTGGGGTAGTGTAGATTTCAAAATGTCTAAATTATGATCAGTGGGGTAGGGTGGAGATGCATTATGTATTACAAGGGGGAAATCTGGTAAAGAACAGAATGGTCAAAGCTTCTCAGGTGAGCGATGTGGCCCATGGGCCTCTTGTTTTTATCCTGTTTCTTTGTTTGTTTGTCTATTGTCAACTTTAATGTCCACCATAACTTTTGAGAGATACAGACTTCATATTTAATATGCCTACTCCACTAAATAAATTCTTTCAAAGGACACCAAGGTCAATTACCTTGTGACCTTGACTGTGACCTATATGCTAAAAATAGCTCTTTTTTTTAACTTTCGCCATAACTTTTGAATCATGAAAGATAGAGAAATCATATTCACTAATTAAGCTCTTTCAAATGACACCAAGGCCAGTGAACTTGTGACCTTCACTGTGACTTTAATGCTATAAATACCATTTTGAACTTTCGCCATACCTTTAAACCATTAAAGATATAGACTTCATATTTGATTTGCATACTCCACTAATTAATCTCTTTCAAATGACACCAAAGCCAATGACCTTGTGACCTTGACTGTGACCTATATGCTAAAAAAAAACTTAATTGAATTTGTTGCCGCCTGGTGCAGAGTGTTTCACAAACACATTTTGTTTTGAAGTAGTTTTAATATTTGAATTTCTGTAGAATTTTATGTTACATATAAACAACAAAAATATTTTTAAAATCAAAATCATTTTTATTTCAGTTCTTTGTGACAGTGGGATGATGGAATATTCAAGAATGGACATGGCTCTATATTACTGCATCAGAGATCAATCCAGGTTTACTTATAAATCGAAGAAAAACACTTTAACAGTCAAGCATCATTTGAAGCTACATATGTCACCACTTTAACAATATGCCTGCTTATATAACCAAGAAAGCACAGTGACCAGTTGTTCCTATGATGTCGGACAAGATCCCGAAAAAACTTCCAGTACACTCATCACTACCTGCAAAGAATTAAAAATTCTAAATGACTTGTATCAACACTTTTGTACTTCATCTGGCTCGTATTTTCAGTACTCATTAGCTTTTAGCTTCCTTTAAACAAAATTTCATAAGTACTAACTTGCAGGTGTAAAATATTTGAAACAGTTTGCTTGTCCCAAAGGAAATTCTGCCAATTAGCAGTGGCATGAGCAGTTGATTGATGTCACAGTTCCACCGGCAAAGTATTTGTAGCTGAATGGTGCCATGTAAAACACTTTTCACAAGAACATGGAAAACATCCTAGAAGTGAGCATCTACAAGAAATTAAGTGAATACTTTCTTGAATATTTTCAATGTTATAAAATGCTTGTGTACGTATATATAAAACTAATTACGCATGTAACTACCAAATACACAAATTAAACTTTCTTAAATTTGTTCTTAAAGATTATTTATAGTGTATTAAAATAAGCATGCAATATTTGTTTTATTATACTGAAGGATTCAGTGTTAAGAAAATGTCGTTCATTGAAAAAAAAATGTGCAAACATTCTGCACAGTTAGCAATTTTTATGGAGAACCTATCAATGTGCATTTACAATCATTGGGATTTAATGACAGACACACAGAAGAATTGTACTTGTTAATAAATGTTTTTTACCAATCAAATTTCAAATTGATAAATTTAATAAGAAAGCATATGACAAATTTAACTAGCATTATGGTCCATTGATTTACCATGGTGTTTGAGCTTTTGTGGACTTGAAACTGAACTAGTAAGTTTGAAATATTGAAGTAAAGAAAAGTGCAGCCCTAAAATTTATCCTGTACCTGATTTAAAATGAGTGCCATCATTAAACTACTTGGAAGTTGCCACACTCTTCATGAGTATAAGAATTACTGGATATGCCTCATTAACAGGTCTATACTGGTACATGGATGACACATTCAGTCAAAGCATTGTCCCTTTTTCAGTACCTCCTGGATCTCTGTTAAATATAATGACAAATGTAGATAAAATGCTCTACCATTGAATGATGAATGTCCTATGGACCCAGTGCGGACCTGTTGGGTGACGCCATTGGATAAATTGGGGATTGTTCTAGCTATGACAAATAAGAAAATTCCTATTTCTAATGCCTATTTTAAGAAAATAAAATGTCTTTCTCATAATGTTAGAGTATAAGGGAACACATGCACCTGAAGTATGGATAATACCCCCCACCTTTTTAAAAAAAAATTTAAAAAAAAAGGGGGGGTGTATTATCCATACTTCAGGTGCCTGTGTTTGGGAAGGGGGTCATAAGGCTTTACAGTTAGTATATTGATCGTACATGTATGTTGTTTAACGTCCTACAGTTAATATTGAAATTGAATATATACATCCCCGTGTACATGAAAGAAGTAATGTTGGACGTTTTTATTTTTGGATTATTAATTAATTAAAAAAGAACATTAATTCTATCAGGATTATGTTTAATCGACGTAGTAATCAACCCTGTATTCCCGTGATCGATGAAATATGGGGTACATGTATTTCCGATTTGTTGTTATTGACTTTGCATTCTATATCCCCACCTCAGCTGTCCTGTGAGCTAAATAAATGAAATAAATATAATATGGTACCAATCTTTGGGGAACGTTTTGGTTTGAAATTCTATTACTTCCGCTGAAAACAATAATTAAAAGCAATTAACGTTGTTTACCTGTATCAATCAGTCAACTTTATCCTCTTCTTTTTAATAATCAGAAAACGAACGACTTAACAGACATTACTTCCTGTTTCGCTTTCGTTTTTAACGGGAGAATTAATTATTTTATTTTCAGGGTGATTGGAAAAGAGATATCTCTTTCATTAAAAGAGATATGTCTTTAGCTTAGAAAGATATCTCTTTTTGAAAATCTAAAGAGATATCTCTCTAATTAAGAGAGATATCTCTTTTCAACTTGTAAAAGAGATATCTCTCTAACTTTTAGAGATATCTCTCTCGCTTAAAGAGATATCTCTCTAGCTTATGAAGATATCTCTCTTTCGAAAAGAGATATCTCTTTTGTTTAAAGAGATATCTCTTTTAATGAAAGAGATATCTCTCTAAATTTTAAAGATATCTCTATTAGTCAAAGAGATATCTCTATAAGCTTAAGAGATATCTCCATAAGCCAAAGAGATATCTCTCTATGCTAGAGAGATATCTCTCATTTTGAAAGAAAAAAATATTTTACGAATAAATAGTAAAAGGGCTTGCCATACATATAGTATAGAATATGTGACACAACCCGTGTTAAGTAAAAGAACTTCCTAAAGCCAAAAGAATCTACAGGAGTTACTT